CATATGGGTTTTTGAATTCAACCCTTAACATATTCCCCATACAATACATGGGACTGCATACAATACAGAAATACCCATACAATACTCAGTGCTAGGTACAATAAAGAGATACCTTTAGAGTACACAGGCCTGAGTATATTGCAGAGATACCCATAAAATACAGAGAGACAAAGACAATAAGGCGATACCAGTACAATACACAGAGCAATATAAGAAGCTGGGCACAATAAGTAGATACCCATTACTATACCACACAGCAAGGGTGACTGTAATGGGGATATATTTATATCCAGTGGCTATATATAATGTTCTAGCTCTCTCTGTCTAATTCTAGCTCTGTAGCTCTCTCTGTCTAACTAGCTCTCTTGTCCTCTCTGAATCTCTAGCTCTCCTAAAACCATGTGGGTGCTGAAGCAGTGTGTGCCATTTCATTTTTGTGTGTTGGTTTAAGAATACCTACATTTCAGAAGAGAATACATGATGAATCTCACACTTTACAATTGATGATTTTGCTACAAATGTCTGCCTCTAATTTGTACTGATGTTTTTCCCCCCTGCATTTTACCCACACTATGCATGGCTGTTAATTTCATGTACAGGGTGTTTTGAAATTTGATCAAACAGTGAATATGAATTCAGTCATATCATTACAGCACAGAAATACCACTATATTTAGAATTCTGGGTTTCCAAACATTACAAAACACTATTATTACATAGTTTTGGCAGTTTAGCAACCCACCAATTAAATTTGCACATACATTAGCCCATTATAGTAAGCCAATAAAACTGACTAAGCCACTTTTTCAGTTTAACTATTTTGCATTTTATAATTTGATTTAGAACATCATTTCCTTGTCATAGGATAATATAATCTGTAAAAATATATTATCTAAACAGGATGCAAACCTAAGTGAATATTCCCCTGGGCATTAAATCCAAATGTCTAATTACAAACTAGGATGCACAACAAATATACTGCCAATATAAATGTAAGTTTACTTACAAAGAACTATTATGATGGGATTCCAGCATGGTCAAAATTTAGTAGGCCAAAATCTCCACATGGCATATGCTAATTAGTATCTGGTTACAAACAGTTTGATGAGTCATCAGTATACTGAGCATGTGTGGAAGTGGATAGTAAAATCCTTTGTCTTCAACAAGCCATGTGGTCTGCCATATAAGGTGATCCTGAATATCCTGTGTGCTGATTGGTCTGAGGAATATAGGAGGGCTTATACTGTATGGGAGGAGATATGCAGTTAACAAAAGTCCCAAGCCCCATGTGTTGGTCTCTCAGAATTTTGGAACAGGAGATCATCTGAGACCCGATCGGTAATGTGAATAAAGGCCTCTTACTTCCTGAAGACTTGTGTCCATATCTCTGTGTTTGGCTTCTGCATGCTTACACGGTAACATTTCTGGTGCAATTGGTCCGGGAACCTCATCGCATGGAAGCTGGCGCAGAGATTTGAGACGGTAAACTTTTACCAAACCTTCTACGCTACAACCCTGGACTTCTACTGCGTGGACCTCCCTTCGTCTCGGCGCCACTGGCTTTTTGTCCAGGAGATCATCGGCTTCTGCGCAGTGAGTCCCGGGTTGTTCCGTCGATGAATGTGATCCCAGGTCCAGGAACTAACAGGTAAGACTGATACCGTTAGAGCGGTAGACCCACAAGGGGTTTTATATTTGGAACCGGTTATTGGAATTAGCCCCTTCAATTTGGAAGGAAGAAGCAAAGGCGCACTGCTTATCTGGACATTAGACGCTCTGTAGTCAGCCCGTCTAATATAGGTGGTTTGTCAGACTGAGTTCTGGTGTAAATAGCTCATGTCGGACACCAATGTCCTGCCTTGACTAGCATGCTAGGTGTAAATTTTGATTCCTACGCAAGGGGAGATTGGCAAAACTAAGCAGGCTCTGTTGTATATTATAGCTTGCTAGATTTCACCCTATCATAACTAAGTGTGCTCTGTTGTAAATCCAGCCACTAGATTATTGATAGTGTAATAGACTATCTGGGTACTGTGTAAATTCTGCCCTCTAGTTCGCTATATGTGGTGCTTGGGCAGTGTAGACTAACCGAACCTTGGTGTAAATTGTTAGATAGTTCTCGAGGTGCTGGCCAATTAGAATAGTTGGGATTATTGTAAATGTTGTTAAATATATTGTAGTTGGTGAATTGGTTAACTTGTGTGTCCTACTAGAAAGCTAGAGCTCTGCCATCTAATGGGAGTGTAAATTGTGTGTATAACTGTAAAATAGCACATGGTACCATAACTACTGACATGTACCATAACCACTGACATTGTGTAAAAATTACTAACAATTGCTGTTTTATGTTATATGTATACCATAACTGTGACTAACTGATCTGTGACTTTAAAACTGTATTATAAACACTTACTAACTATACCATAACCACTGACTGTAAAGATGAGGTTACTAGAATGTGATATAGTTGGTTAGTCAAAAGTTGATTTATAGTACGGATAATTGTAGAGACGAAATTGTTGAAATGTTATGTGATCGGTTAGTATATGTGGATTAATAGCATGGATAGTTGTATGGTTTGAATAATAGTTACATTGATAAGTGTATAGTCTTTGGTGGGTTTTTGATTTAACCCGACAACTGACTGGCACCCTTCCATCCCGACATTGCCATATGCCCCTCCGACTTACACCTGGCCCACCACATATTGACGTTAATGGACAGTTGCAAATGGCAGATCCTGTATTTGTTTAAGTCCTTTTACTACATCCGACCTGTTTAATTGGAAGACCCATAACTCCTCGTATACCGATAAACCTCAAGCCATGATTGACTTGGTCACCTCTATTATACAGACCCCCTATCCCACCTGGGCTGATTGTCAGCAATTATTACTGACCTTGGGAACGTAAATGGCGCTGACATGATCCATCTGAAGGCCTATCAACAAGCCATTATTACTGGCATGAAGGCAGGAGGGGAAAAGGCAATTAACATGTCCAGGACGGCTGAAGTGTTACAAAAAGTTAATTAATCACCAGTGCTTTTTATGAGAGACTGCTTGAGTCAAATAGATTGTACACTCCTTTCAATCCTGAAGCCCCTGAAAACTTCCGAATGATAGACTCAGTATTTGTCAGCCAGGCCCAGAGCGATATTAAGAGAAAGCTACAAAAAGTAGAGGGATTTGT